AAAATTATTATTTAGCAACAACAACAACAAATAGTTTAACAAGAAAATATACTTTTTTAAAAGTTCTTAAATACATTTGTGCTAAAAACTGTTTATCAAAATAAATTATTTGGATAACATGCTTCAAAAAATATTCTATTTATAATAAATAACGATCAGACTATTTTAAAATGAATTTAATTATTTGGCCAAAGTTACCTCAAAAGAGTATAAACCTACGGAGTAACTTTGACCACCCTGTAAAAAAAACAGAGTGTTGTTACTTGAGCCAAAAACGTTTTGCCTAATTTTATCTGAACGTTTGTCTTTAAAACAGAAGAAAAACTGAGTTGTTTGCTATCATTTTTATCTTTGCCCAGACAACATTTTGTTTTACAGTTTTTGATGTTGTTTTACCAAGATGAAGTTTTTATTCTTTTTCACTTATAGTAGGTACGTGCGTATCCAATGAGTTACGGCACCGATTATGTAATCAAAATCTTCGACTATTTTATCAAAGCGTGCTTAGCGTTTGAGTTGAAAGAATGTATTTTGTTGTGTTATTTTTTTAGGATTTTATATCAGCATAAACTTTTTTTGAAAAGTGGAAGAGTTAAACTTCATTTTTGGATAGTTTTTTTTTGTAGTTACAACCGCTTTTATTGAATTTACTTTTCTTAAAAACTTCGTTGTTGATCACACGTCAAATTAATATTGAAGGAATGCTGAGAACATTTTTGAAACTATTGAGAAAAATTTTAAAACTTATTTTCTACTATCATGCCAAATTTTATCGAAAAAGATTATGTAGCAGATACCTAATTTTTTGTAGCAGAATATGTACCTTAGTTAAAATATTGTAAATAAAGCAAAATATTGCGCTTATAGCAACAAAGTTCTATAACAAAACTACCGTTAGCCGAAACTGACATTTTAAAACTGGTCGCAGATTTTTTAAGCAATCCTTGTAATCAAACTTTGTTACTTAAACGAGTATAACTTTTTGTAGAATTGTTATTTTGTTATGAAATTTTCATTATTGCAATGCTGATTTTAGCCTCTTTTAAATGATATATAATAATTAATAATAAAAATAGTTTAAAATTTTTACACACGTACTTATAGTAAAAAGCATTTGCAATAAACTTCAGATCAAAATTTAAATAAGAAAGATTGCATTTACAAATAAAACAAAAATAATAAAGCGTTACTTAACTGTTTCAAAGTTACAAATGTTTAATTAAAATTTTTAAAAATGGCCAAAGTTACCCCGCTGGCCAAAGTTACCCCAAGTTACCCCAAAATTAAGTAAAGGTTTAAACGACTAAATCATAAACGACTAAATCATATGGTTCAATTCTGACAATTTTTCAAGTAATTGTTTTAGAGTTTCAAGAAATTTCTGAATCAAATGATCCTAACAGAGCTAAAGCAGAAGATTTACTTGATATATATTTTGGGCTTTGCCAAGGTTATTATTAACCACTGCAAATGGTGATACAGACATAAAAGCTTTAGATAATATAAATGTTTTCTATTAAAATGATATAGTTTATGAAAAATTAAAAGCAGAACTCTTTCTATTCATTAAGGAAACTTATAACATTACATATAAAATGAACATTAAACAGGTTACATCAATCATAAATATAATTGATATGTTAAACGACTGTAAAGAAGTCTCAATAATGTTTTCTGAATTATCAAAATTTCTAAAAATTTACTTGGCGATACCATTGACAAACTGCACAGCCGAGAAATATTTCTCTCGTCTAAGAATGATGAAGTCATATAGTCGGTCGACCTCGACTCAGAAGCAATTGAATCATCTTCTACTTCTTCAATTTTATAAATTGAACACCGCGGAAATAAATGTAAAAGCTTAACAAAAAATTTTATAAATGGGAAAAGTAAAGACACCAGAATTTCTTACTTTGGACAACGTTAAATTATTTTTAGATTGTAACATGTTCTTTTAATTTTAAAGTTTACTGAAATATGTTTATAGTTGATATTATACTTTATTGAAAATGGATGCATGTGGTTTTCTTTTAAGAATAACTGAAAATTAATATTAGTTTTATAAAATTTGCAAAATATTTTCATATAAATATGAGTATATAAATAACTTGCTACCAAACGGTTTTTCTGATTTCACAAAATAATCTTTGATAGAATATTAGTCAAGTCTATTCTTTTAGGCTCAACTAATTCCAAATAGTGAAACTTTTTATTAATGACTCAAGTTCCGCTATTATGGAATCAAAAAAATATTTGTATAAAAAACTTGTTTGCTGTTTAAACAAAATAATGTTTTTATTTAAACAGCAAACAAAATTTTACCTCCTCGATTTCATACCTAAGATAAATTAAACGCGATAAAACTTTTTTTATCAAAAACTTATATATATATCATGTATCATTTTAAAAATGTTAAAAAAATTTTTTTTTTTTAATATATTCTTATTCCTTTATTCCAATATTTTATTTAGCTTTCAATCTTTACTCGAAAGATTTCTGATTGTTTAAATTTTTTGCAATAATAATTAATTAATAGCTTTACTTACTATTTTAACTTTAAAATTGATTTGATTTAAACGAAGTAATGTCAACATTTAATCAATCCGTTGTCACGAAAAAACAAACATAATAAATTAAATTTATAAAAATTAGAATACATCTAAGACTTTTGAAAGCCTTATAGTTTTAAAAATACCCAAGTAAAGTGTGTTTCTGAATAAGGTTTAGATTTCCTTAGCATTTATGAAAATGATAGAAATTGCGTTACATTTTATACAGAGAATACTGAATTAAATGTGCCAAAAAAAGATTCACTACAAATAAAAACACTTATCCGCAATGTTATACAATGTTCTTTACCAAGAAAAAAACAATTTTTTTATTTCTAAAGGTTAATTATTCAAAAATCATACAGAGAAAAGGCAATTCAACTCTTGGAACAACCAGACATAAGCGATTGTTCCCCAGCCACTTAAGATACTGCTTATTCCTAAAAATTAGATCAAAGTTTACCGTTCAAAACACTACATAATTTTTACCTACATGATATAGTTTACTTTTTTAACAAAGAAAATGAAAAATCACTTATTATCAATTACCAGGTAATATAAATGCTAAAAATTACCTGGTAATGTGAAGTAAAATAACAGCAGACAATTGTTGAAGTGAAGCCTGTAAAAATAGTCAACTCCTACTTCGAACAATAAAAAGATATCTATTAAACAAAAAATATAAAACAATTGAAAATCTGCCAACTAAACCATAAAATCTTGTAAAGTTTGGTGTAGCTATGGAAGTCATTTGAATGTATGGAAGTCGATTTTTTGGAATGTCCAGAAAGAAACTCTATGAAGTATTTAAAAAAATGATTTTTTACTATATATCTATTAGATAACCCAAAATAAGATGAAGAAATACTTTTATTAGAACTGATTGATTGTAGCAAAATTAAAATATTATTAAGAAGACGAGGTAATCGAGGTAATCAGTGTTGATTTTACATAAGAGAAATATAAAAGTAAAATAACTAAGAAAATAAACAATTTCACTAAATCCTGAATGCCAATTATTGGCATTAACATTTTACTATACTCACAGCAGCTTGTTACTTTCAAAAAAAATGCTACATTTTGAAATGGTAAACATGATAAAATTATAATATGGTAAAGTTTCCTGCGGCAATTATTTCAAATGAAACGAAGCATAATTGAAATGTTGCATTTACAACAATAATGGTTACATCTCCATCAGTTTCCACTTTCTATTTTTGAGTAATGAGTAAGCTGATTGATCCTGGTTCTATTTTATTTTTAAGTCCTTCTCTTATTACCCAGAAATTATTACATTGCCTTGGAGTTATGGTAAGACGCATCACTTGAAAAGACCCTTTGATGGAATTAAGAAATTTTAAACGCATGTTTAAAACGTAACTTTACACAGCATATGGAAGAACATTAGATTTTTGAGGAAGTTTTGTCAGCTAAACTTATTATTGTAAACGCTAAACAAATGAATGCACTAGCTGTTTGGCTTTTTGACATTACAGTGATATAAATAGATGCAGAAAATATTGAATATCTGAATTTAACTGATAGCATCTTTAATAAATCATCAAACGTTTTTAAACCTTTGACATGAAGAAAACAGAAGGGAAAATAGATGTTGGTGATCTCAATGATGAAAAAAATCCTATAAAGTTTTTGTTTTTATTCGTTTAAAAAAGAAGCATATGATAAATGTATGTGTACTTTTTTTTCTTTTTTGAAATGTCTTTCCTTGACACTTTATTGATTGGTTTATTTGATGCCCGCTCTTATCATCGATAGTTCTAAAGAAATTCTTTTAGAACTATCGAAGATCAAAACGGTCATCAAGTTACAAAATTTTTCTTTTTAATATATTATAGGTCATAAATTGTAATGAAAAAGGATACGCTATACATAGTCAAATTTACTGTAACAATTGCAATTATAGGGGTGGTGAATACCAGTCAAACAATTACCTTGGTAGCAATTACCGGTTGATTGCTACCAGGGTAATTCTTAAACTGGTATTCACCATTAGAATAATCCCAAGTTGCAATTGTCCGAGTAATAGTTATCAGGTTAGCAATTATTTTCCGTAATGTTTCCGGATATTTTAATTCCGGATGTTAAAATATGTTTTTAATCCGGATGTTTTAACTCCGAATGTTTTAATAGCCTTAACACCAAAATTATAAAAATTTCATTAAATTTTATAAATAAAAGATACGGTTTTTTATAAAAATATTTTTTAGCTATAATTTACATTTTAAAAACCGTTTGACATATTTTCCAATTTTTTTTGTAACGGTTTTTACAATTTTATTTGTGAAAAAACGAACGGTTTCTTAGGCATGTGATGTTTTCCGTTTTAATTTTCCAAAACATTCACATTTAACTTGGTCACACGCTTTACATAAAATACGGGCTTTAAAGCTTGTTTTTTCAGCTGCTTTTTATATGAGAAAAAGAAACAGATGCCATCGACAAAACAACGTGCATCTGTAAGCTACTTGTGCAGCCAAAGGAGGCGTTATTCGATATTCGTCTAAAGACACTACTTAATTGCAATTTTTTTAAAAATATTTTTTCAAAAATGAGCAGCAATTCATCTAGTAGTATTCCTGTGCGACGTGTTCAAATTACTGAACCACAGAATATGCCATCACGATATTCTGAGACCCCTGGTGGAACAATTTTTAGCACAACCCCTGGAGGTGAGATATCGGCATAGTATTGCGTTCGATATTTAAAGTTAAACGTGCTTGTATTCCTTATTATATTTATTTTGTTTCATTTTTGTTTATAGAATGAAACAAGTAAAAAAGAATGCATAATTTTAATAATTGATTCTTAGACTATAAATTTTCACATAGCATATTATTATACTATAAATTTTCATATAGCATATTTCATATAGCAGAATTAATTTAAGTAAACAAAGCGTTAGATATAATCTACCTTTGCTATTAAGTAATAACTATTAGCTAACCTCCTGTGAAACTTTTAAGTATGTTTTTAAAAACCCTTAGAATTTGGGTTAAGCTCACCTAAAGTTTCAGTAATTGAATTTCCTAAAATGAGTTTGAAAATATTTTGAAATTTTTCAAGTATATTCTGTTGAATCGAATAAAGCTTTTGCGTCATATTATGTATTACATAATTAAATTTTAACAATATTAATATGTTAAATATTCTAGTTAATGATATAATATTTTATGGATGAAAATTAAAAAAATCTAAATGTCACGAATTTTCAAGGAAAGTTTATAAGTTTCTTACATAAATTTAGTAATATTACCTTTTTTTAATGCGACAGATTTTCTAAAAGAATTACCAAATTGTATTTACTAATTATATTATTTTTAATATTCTTAAAGAGTTTGTACTTATTAAAAAAAAAAAAAAGATTAAACAAGTTTTATTTCACTTACATAACGTAATATGGTTAATATTAAAACATTGTATGTGCATTTTAGACAGTTGAGAGAAAAACAATTTTAAAAGTTTAAACTCATACAAATTCAAATATTTAAAAACATTGTTGTTTTATTTTATTGCTTCAACATTTCTGTGTATAAATATTTCAAATATTTAAAAACATTTTATGTTTTTAAATATTTTTGATACGCATCTTTTTTCAATTAAAGTATATGTAATTTATATTTTAAATAGCAGAATTAGAATGAGCCTACAGCATTTAAATTTAGCACAAACAAAATTTAAAATGAGACATGTGGTTTTAACAATTTAAATGTAAAGAAAATACAAATTGTTATTTGTAATGTAAAAAAAAAAAGTTAACTTAAAAATTTCTCTCTTATTTGAATTTTACTTATTGTAAATATAAGACAAAAAAATAAAAAAATCTTTTAAATTCATGAATCTGCTCACAAGTCAAATAATAAGTGACATACTGATTTTTTTTTCATGACAATAAAATCATTCTCAAATGTTCTACCCAATATGATCAAGTTTTATCAAATGTAAAATTTAATTGGTAATCAGGGTGTTAGCCAGGAATATATTTTTCACCCCATTTTTGCGATATTGACAATATTTATTGTTATTGTTCTAGAAATTATTGGGAATTCTTATTGATATTGTCCTATTACTTTAAAAAAAAAAGGTCATTTAATTTTGGGAATTTTAAATTCATTGGGGATTCCATGGTATATGAGGTGCCATTGGGCTGGCTAATGCCCTCGCAATGGTGATTTATTGCTTGTTAAGTTTGAATACAGTTGAACTTATTTATTTCAAATCCTCAAGGGATCTCAAAATAGTTTTTGAATTATTGGAGTTCAATCTTAAGTATTAAACTCTTAAAGAAAAATTAGTTCAATTTAAATGATCATTTGAATTATAGGAGTTTGAATTACAAGAATTTAACTGTAGTACACAAAAAAATTGGCATTTATGTTGGTCAAATTAATTTCAAGAACTTCACAATCCTATATTGCGACCTTACCTGTAAATAAAAATTGACTGGTTTCTCAAGATATTTGTTAAGTAGAGAGAATTGATACATGAAAATGTTTATAGGCAAATTCAACTAATAAATTAAAGAATTGGTTATGTTAGTTTTTTTGTTACTATACAACATTTTATTTTAAACTTTTATTTAAACAATAACAAATTTTGATTATTAATTATTCAAGTCCAATGAGTCAATTTTATATTGATCTTAATATTTTGTTATTGCTTTCTAATCTTAGCTTATTTTCTAAACTACTTTTCTCATTTATATTAATATAAATTTCCATAACATTTAATTAATATAAAGTTCCATGTATTTAGTTTATTCAGTATATTTTGTTTGTTCAGTGATGGCGTTTATTCAGTATATTAAACTGATTTATGGTTTAAGTATTCTATTTTTTCTTTTTTCTTATCACATTTTTATTTTATTTTTTTTCTTATCACACGAGGAATCTCACTAACCATGAATAAAAAAAGTTTTGTACAATAACTTTAGTATTGGTCAATATTAACATTTTGTGGAACTTAAATTAATTATAATCTTATTTTATGATAGTTCCATGTATGGTAGTTATTGTTGTTTCCCTCTGTTTCAGTAGCTTTAGGGTAGTTTTATTTTATGGAAATAAGTTAACAATAGTTATTGTTATTTCCTTCAAAAATTATAAAGCAAAGATGTTCAAGGAGAAAAAATAGATGAGTTAAAGTTTGACATAAACATAAGGAAACTGTGATAACAAAAAGATGCAACTTGGGTAAAGGTCAAACTGTACAATATTGGGTTTTAGTTGGTAAAATAAGAGACAATTGCTCTCTTAAGCAATGACCTACGGTAGTATTTTTTGAAATTAAAGAGATGCAACTTTACTACGATGGGACAGAGGTTCGTGCTTAGTAGCTAAAACAGGCCCAACTACATTTAAAATACATTTTTGGACCTTGCCTAAACAGACGCTCATGGATAAAGCAAGTTATCATTTTTATAAACCAAAATCCAATATTGCTTGACTCCTTATTCACCCAAGTTATTCATCAGTATTTCATACAAAAACAAATAAAATATTATTAGAGGTAGAGAATGGAATCAGCAATAAGAAAATGACAAGAACAATAAAGAAAAGAAAACCATATTGCAATGGATTGCAATATAGTGTCTTTGAGTAAGAGTATTCCCATTTAACAATATGTAATATCATCATTATTCCTAAAGTTATCAACTTGTTTTTGTTTAAAATTTACCAGCCTAGCAAGGCCTTAGCAAGGCCTGGTTGTTGCAGAAAAGAAATATTTTAGAGTGGCTGCCTGTTCTAAGTGATCATAAAGTGATGAATAGAGTAAATAGTTTCAAGACTAATGATTCTAATTGATTATAAAGTGGTGAAAAGAGTAAAATGTTTGAAGTAAATAGTTTCTAGACTAGAGTTGTATCATCAGCAAATAATAGAATAAATAGTTGCATATCAGCAAATAATCTATGGAAAAGCTAAGCACAAAGCACAAGTATAAAAATATGAAGCAAAATATCTTTATCATCTTCACCAGTTAAGTATTTCAAGATTACCATTGGTATACAACTGGCCAAGGGTTATGTTTCACTAATTGGAGTTGGTTTGCTGCTTTGTCAAGCCTTTATTTCCTAATTGTTTTCTCTTTATGTATCGATTAGTCTTGTTTAAGTTGGTTTTAATTTTTTAACGTAAATACTTATAAAACCTATTCTTTCACAAACAACCTTTTTAGAATGAACACAGATCAGTATATGCACCTCCAACTCATAAATAAAAGTGGAGACATTTTTTTTTTTTTTTAATCATATATGACTGCACACATTAACATTAAAGTCTTAATTGTAATAAAATCTTTAATGTTGTCATTTTAAACTTGAAATAAAAAAAAGTAAAGTCTAGAATAATAGTGATGATTTATAATAACAGCGATTCTTTATGACTGTCTAACAAATTCAAGAGTTGCTTTCAATTTTCCAATATATTGAAACTATCAGATTTTTTTGGTGTTGTATATGATTTACTAAAAGAACTGTATAAACTGACACAGTTTCAAATGTAACTTTATTAAAAAAGCCTATTCTTGTGCTTTTCAAATTAAACATTGATATCTGACAAATAGAATAACTTATAGAATTTTGTTTCAATAAGAAAAATTTATAGAAGTCTTAATTTGTGCTAAATATTTTTAGCTCACTATTACTTTCACCAAATGCATTTACAAAATTCAATTTCATCATTTTTTAGTCTTATTTTGGTTTTTTTCTAATGTATTGTCATGTTTGTTAAAAAAATATATATATATTAAGTAAAAGATGTTTGTTTAAAATATATATATATATATATATATATATATATATATATATATATATATATATATATATATATATATATATATATATATATATATATATATATATATATATATATATATATATATATATATATATATATATATATATATATATAAAAGACCATGTAATGCATAACAAGTATTTATCAAGAGAAACTTAGACTCGGTTCCATTGGTTTCAACATAATTTTTTTGTAATTAAACACTAAAATTATTTAAATAATAAAATTATTTAAATAATAAAGACTGGAACTTTATTTAATTATTAAAAGAGAATTAGAGTGAAACTATTTAATCAAAATTTTTTAATCAAAATATTTTGAAAAGTTGTTTATCTATTTTTATCCACCTATAATGTATCTTATGTAGTTTTATTTTTTTAAGGAACTAGAATTATTTATGAAAGAAAGTTTTTGTTGGATTTAAAGAGTTCCCCTCTGTCCAGAACTCCTACTAATCTACCTGTAATTCCTGGTGTTACTTTGGACGATAATGGCAAAATTATTGAAGAAATGGAAGAACTTAAAGAGGATTCTGTTCCTAAAACAAGCCAGTTAAATGGTGATCAAAAGAAAGGTAATAAAAATTGTTTTAAATTCGGATAATGTAACAAGTTTAATATTATATTTATATATATATATATATATATATATATATATATATATATATATATATATATATATATATATATATATATATATATATATATATATATATATATATTTATATATATATATATATATATATATATATATATATATATATATATATATATATATATATATATATATATATATATATATATATATATATATATATATATATATATATATATATATATATATTTTAGATGAAGATCTTTTTGAAATGGATATGTGAATCTCGATTTGTAAAGTTCTAATCAACTGAGACATTCAGTTCTGTATGTTCTTGCATATCTATATTGTTTGTTTATTCGAATTAAACTCAAGCAGTTCGGAAAACATGGATAAATAAAATTTAATCTTTGATATATATATATATATATATATATATATATATATATATATATATATATATATATATATATATATATATATATATATATATATATATATATATATATATATATATATATATTGACATACATATAACTATTTGACTTCGAATAAAAGGTTCCTTTTCTTTTTGTTTTAGTTTTTTTTTTAAACACATGTTTTCCTTTTTATCATAGTTTTGTGTTTTATTATTTTTTTAAAAGTCATTGTATTTTTTGCATATTTACTGATTTTTCTTATGCTTTAAATAAAATAAAGAATAAGGTTTGATACTCATTACGTAATGTAGAACTTAAATATTGAAATTGCTAATTTGATATCAAACTGAAAACTAGATTGGATTAGAGATTTTAGGCGGGATTTATTTGCATGGTTTTTAAAGCTGTTGCGTTTTTGTAAATAATAATTGTACCAGGCTATTTTATAGTCAACATGATTAGCTTTTTTTGTAAATATCTTTCTGCTAGGTATTCAAAAAGATTTATTTTAAAGAAAATATTGTTTGTATTTTTGTCTTCCTAAACGATAAAATACGGAAAAATAATTTCATGGAAATATTGCTTTGATCAACTCCCTAATTTTACGTCAGCAAAATTGTTGAGGTTTCTTGATTCCGTATTCATCGCAGAATACCAATATTTAAGTTAAGATTTGATAGCAATAATAGAAGATGGTTTTAGAAGAGAGATTTTATTGGGTTTTTTATTATTTTAAAACTTTTTATACAATTGAGAGTAAAATATATCTTTCATCTGGTTATCTACTTGCTCCAAGAAGTCTTTACACAAATCTTGTCACAGCATTGCCGAAGAGTTAAAAACTCAGTGGGAAAAACTCAGTGTTTGAACAATTTAACCGATCTGATCCATCAAAATGTTTGAACAAATATAACCAGATTTAAACCATCAAAATGTTTGAACAATTTAAATACGCCAGTTGCCGGCCATTAACTATTTACTGGCCACTTTTAAAAGTTTTTGTCACAAAATTTTTTGGTACAAATTGCCCTAAATTATTATTTAAACTCAATGACTCCGTTAAAACTGAATATCGCAATTTCAGGAAAATTCAAAAAGGTTTTAGTCGCTAGAACTGATGTCAAAAACATCATATTAAATGTTACAATTTTACGCTTTGTTTTCGAAAATTCATACTTTATTGTCATTTTTTATGCGTTGCAAGTATTTGTGGTAGTCCATTCAGGAAGGGGAAAAAGATAAACATCTTATGTACATTTTGAAATAAAATTATTTTGTTGATGCTTCACATATGTTTTAACTGAACTAGATTAAACCTTTCGTAATATACCATTTACTGGCCGGTTATTTAATCCATTTACTAGTCATGGTCAATAAATGGTATTAAGTATAAAAGTATTTAGTTTAAAATTTGTATATGAGATTTTCTCACAGTTATTTTTCATGTGTGAGCTAAGTTAGATTTTAAACCGATAATTAACTTTTAAACAACATCCACATTTTAAATTAATTTCTGATTTTCTGAGTTCATTCTACTTGAAAAGTAGAATGAGCTCAGAAAATTATAGTTAATTAGAATTACAGTTAATTATTTTTTGATAACTTTGATTTAATTAAAAATATTTTTTCAATAATGAAAATAAATAAGGTAACGGTACCAGTAATTGACCGTTTAAGAGAAAAAACTCTGTATGACTACCATATCTTTAATGCTTTGTATTGCTGCCTTATCTTTAATGTTTTGTATGACTGCCGTATCTTTAATGTTTTGTATATAATTTATCTGTCTTTATATTAAATACTGATGAATAACTTGGGTGAATAACGAGTCATGCAATATTGGATTTTGATTGGTTTATAAAAATGATAACTTGCTTTATCCATGATAATTTTTTTATCTTAATTCAGTTAATATTATATCGCAAAGACATGTAGTATATTTTTTACGCGATGTAACACAAATACAACATTTTATTAAAAATGAAATATTAAGTAAGCGTTAATTTCTGGTATAAGGTATAACCCACGTCGGTAACTCAGCAAAGACAACTTTTTAATTTTTATCAACAAATAAAAATTTTATTACATATGAAATGACGAAAAACATTCATTTCCTTAACAAGGTATGATCCACATTGAAAACACAAGTTTAGAGGGCAGATTTTCCTTTGTATTTGCTCCCTTGAATATACAAGTTTATCTTCCTTATATAGCCAATGATAAAAAGAAATTCCACTCTGAACCATAACCTTCACCATCGCTTTGCTCAGGAATAGAAAGCCGCTCTTATTGGTAGATCACTAATGGTGTTAGAACAAAACCGTTGGCATTGCTAGTAATCAGTACTGTGAGATACCCCCTGTCATCTGAATTAACTTGTTGATGTGTTGTCTTATCTCCCTTTCTTGCAAGGACTTTAGTTTCTTTCGGGTTAAGAAAAAAGGCGGTCTCATCGCAATTAAAAAGCTGTGAGGGGTCCATCAGGACTTGTAAAATATCTTCTTTTTTTTTGGTATTAACTTTCGTGAACCATCGCAAAATATTGTTCTGTAAACTATTGCATATTATTATTTTTTACATCTTAGATGGCTTCCGTCATCGTTTTTTCTTAGTATTTTTGAAATTTATCTTTTATGGCAAGCATAATAAATCTAAAACAATACAAAAAAAAGTTGACACATTGTTGTTTTAGTATTTGACCACCTAGTCATCTATTAGATAAATCTAACTTATTATGTTAAAAATGGAAAAGAAAGTGTAGTTTGCTAAAAATACATAAAACATACATGTTAGGATGAGTTGAGATAAACAAAGGAATAGCTGAGTAATTGACCACCCCTGGTCAATTACTAAATTATTTAAATTTTCTGATGCAATATATGACCACACTAATAACTGACTTCAGATAGTAAACAGATAACAAATAACTTTTAATTAGTATCAACATACCTATTTCAAAATAAAATCATATAATCTGATGGTACTTACCTTTTAAAACTAACTTTATTTGCAACTTCTCCTAGCAAATTGCGGAAGAAAACTCAAAAAAATAGACAAGAGGATAGCACATTAACATTGACTTTAAGCCTTCTTTGTTCAAAGCTGTCAAATGTTTGCCGCGTTTACATATGTACAACCAAATGGTAGAAGAGTATTTTCCTATTGTTTTTCAAATCGTTTTTCCATATTTTAACAATTTTTCTTCTAAATGGTCAATTACTGGCACATTGTCAATTACTGGTACCGTTAACTTCTATGATTTTTCTAAAAGTACCCTATGAATATGTTTTTTTTATTTTTATTTTTTAGTAGATAATAATATTAAATACGAAAAAAAAAGTGAAAATCTTTTGAAAAACAAATCAAATGTTATCATGAAACCAACTTTTTCAACAAGGATAATAAAAAAACGCATACCGAAGACTGAGAATAACATGAAACTAGCAGTACATGCAGTTTTAACAGGTGTGTCTCAACGGAAAGCAAGTGTATCATAAAGTTCCACGATCGAGTCTGCAAACCATGATATCTGGAAAGTTCAAAATAGGAGCAAAACCAGGTAAAAAATCAATGCTATGTAAACTTGAAGTAAAACTAATTGATTATGTTGGCAATCGTGCCCAAACGGGAAGTGGTTTTGGAAAAAAATCATGTTAAGCTTGATAGAAAACATAACATAAGTTTTAAAAATGGTCGAGCTAGTGAAAAGTCGTGGCAACTACTTAAAAAGAGATATGGTTGGGTAAGTCTTTGTCATCCAGAAGCTCAAGCTTCGATACGACACATGTGTATGGATAGGGTTAAAGCTTCAAAACATTTTACTTCTTTAGAAGTTCTAATACCAAACAAGATTTTACTAAACAAACCAAAATGTATGTGGAACATAGACGTGAAAAGTGATGGCAGCATGTATGACGAAACAGGGATGCAACTAGAGCTTAAACCAAGACGTGTTGTTGCCAGGATACAAAATACATTCAGAGTCAAACAAGTGGCAACAAAGAGACAATTACTGTTATATGTTGCATAAATCAGCAGTCATACCACCTCATCTAATAAGGAAAGGAAAAACTGTACGTACCCTTTTTAGCTTTCACACCGAAAATGTTCCAAGTGGAGCAAATGGAGTGTGTCTGAAAAGAGCTGGACAAAACGAGTTATTGCGGAGTTACGGTTTGAGGAAACATTTATTCCAAATATTGACTAAGCAAGACCACAGATTTTAATTCTAGATGGGCACGACTCGCACAATTTTGTTAAAATGATTGAGCTGGCTATTGTAAACCAAATTGAAATTGTCGAGCTTCCAGCTCACACCAACAACTGGTTGCAAACTTGTAACAACAATTTTTAAGCCACTGAAAATTATTCTGAGGTCTGCCAAGCAATGATGAACGACTACCCAGGTGTAGTAGTGTCGCATTCTAACTTTTGTGGTTTATTTTCAAAAGCGTGGAAATATGCTATGACTGATGAAAATATACGATCAAGATTTCGAGCTTGTGGTATTTATCCGTTTAATCCAGATGCTATTCCTAATGAGGCATACAACCCAAATATTTTATATAGTCGTTTTTCTGATACTGTCCCAGTTCAAAATGTAGGTAACATGTCAATTGTAAATAACCTTCCATTATTGCTTGATCTATCAGAGAACAGCTATACAATCAACTCACTATATTTAAACAAACTAGTAGAGGAAATTGAGTTAATTGATTTTTTCATTCAAGGCAATACTTTGCAATATTCAAATATTGTTACAGAACACAGTTATGAAAAAATGAAACCAGTACAAGACAATCAGTTTATTGATTTTTCACTTCAAGAAAATATTGGTTTAAATATTGATACCAAAATAAGTCTTGAAGAAGTAGAAGTAATTAAATCAACATTTGATTCAAATGACAAAAAAAAAGTTTTTTGCAAAAGATTAACAGATCTTCTATTTCCATTTACTAATTCATCTTGTGCATCAGAAAAAGATTCAGATACTTTTCATATCCTTCTCCTCTAATTAAACAAAACATAAAAAAACTCAAAAAACTCTATCTTAAAGTTTTTTGTTCTGACCTCAGAGGAGGCTTATAATGCGAAACTTGAAGATAGTGCTGCAAAGGTAGCTATTAAAAAGAGAAAAATTAAAAAACAAAAGATTTTAAAAGAAAAAAAAAGAAACTTTTGCTAAAAAGAAATTAGATCGTGTATCAAACTTAAAGAAATTGACTAAGATAAATAGAAAAAAATGATATTTTTAACAATAGTATTTTTTAGTTTTTTGTTGAGGTTGTTAATTCACTTTAATAATTGTACAGTTAATTTAATTGATCAAGTTATGATTTTATGCTGTGCTTTTATTTTTAATGAGTTTGCTTTTTTGTTGGTTTTATCTGTCGAATAGAAATTTTGATGTTAATAAATGTTAAATTTTTATTTGATTATTTATTTGTATTTATATATAATTTATATTATATTGATAAATTTTGATTGTAACTTTTAAAATGAAATACTACTATTGAAA